GACGAATCTGTAAGGAAACGCTCAAGTTTAAGAGTCTTACACATATAAATGGTGAAAATACGACTTTTTTTCACTTTCGCTTCCGGGCCATTTTGCACTCAAAATCCATAGGTGTTAACATAGGAACTTTTTTTGCCCATTGAGACAGGGTCGTTAACTCGATCTGAAAAGTTGTTTTCTCGTTTTAGTATCATACCATATCCACTAAAGATTGTCCTAAGCTTAAAATATGGAAGAAAAAAAACATTTACTCGTGTTGAAAAGACCTCACAACCTCAACCCTTACGAAAAGACCCTCGTGGAGGCACCCGAATGACTATGTGAAAAACCTTTGTTCCTTTCGATGTTTTTCGACGAATGTATAAGGAAACGCTCAAGTTTAAGAATCTTACACATATAAATTGGTAGAATACGAATTTTTTTTCACTTTCGCTTCCGGGCCATTTTGCACTATAAATCCATAGGTGTTAACAAGAATACGAATTTTTTTTCACTTTCGCTTCCGGGCCATTTTGCACTATAAATCCATAGGTGTTAACATAGGAACTTTTTTGCCCATTGAGACAGGGTCGTTAACTCGATCTGAAAAGTTGTTTTCTCATTTTAGTATCATACCATATCCACTAAAGATTGTCCTAATCTTAAAATATGGAAGAAAGAAAACATTTACTCGTGTCGAAAAGAGTTCACAACCTCAACCCTTACGAAAAGACCCTCGTGGAGGCACCCAAATGACTATGTGAAAAACCTTTGTTCCTTTCGATGTTTTTCGACGAATCTGTAAGGAAACGCTCAAGTTTAAGAATCTTACACATATAAATTGTTAGAATACGAATTTTTTTCACTTTCGCTTCGGGGCAATTTTGCACTCAAAATCCATAAGTGTTAACATAGGAACTTTTTTGCCCATTTAGACAGGGTCGTTAACTCGATCTGAAAAGTTGTTTTCTCGTTTAAGTATCATACCATATCCACTAAAGATTGTCCTAATCTTAAAATATGGAAGAAAGAAAACATTTACTCGTGTCGAAAAGACCTCACAACCTCAACCCTTACGTAAGGACCCTCGTGGAGGCACCCGAATCACTATATGAAAAACCTTTGTTTCTTTCGATGTTTTTCGACGAATCTGTAAGGAAACGCTCAAGTTTAAGAATCTTACACATATAAATGGTTAAAATACAACTTTTTTTTCACTTTCGCTTTCGGGCCATTTTGCACTCAAATTCCATAGGTGTTAACATAGGAACTTTTTTGCCCTTTGAGACAGGGTCGTTAACTCAATCTGAAAAGTTGTTTTCTCGTTTTAGTATCATACCATATCAACTAAAGATTGTCCTAAGCTTAAAATATGGAAGAAAAAAAACATTTACTCGTGTCGAAAAGACTTCACAACCTCAACCCTTACGAAAAGACCCTCGTGGAGGCACCCGAATGACTATGTGAAAAACCTTTGTTTCTTTCAATGTTTTTCGACGAATCTGTAAGGAAACGCTCAAGTTTAAGAATCTTACACATATAAATTGTTAGAATACGAATTTTTTTCACTTTCGCTTCCGGGCCATTTTGCACTCAAAATCCATAGGTGTTAACATAGGAACTTTTTTGCCCATTGAGATAGGGTCGTTAACTCGATCTGAAAAGTTGTTTTCTCGTTTTAGTATCATACCATATCCACTAAAGATTGTCCTAAGCTTAAAATATGGAAGAAAAAAAACATTTACTCGTGTCGAAAAGACTTCACAACCTCAACCCTTACGAAAAGACCCTCGTGGAGGCACCCGAATGACTATGTGAAAAACCTTTGTTTCTTTCGATGTTTTTCGACGAATCAATAAGGAAACGCTCAAGTTTAAGAATCTTACACATATAAATGGTTAAAATACGAATTTTTTTTCACTTTCGCTTTCGGACCATTTTGCACTCAAATTCCATAGGTGTTAACATAGGAACTTTTTTGCCCATTGAGACAGGGTCGTTAACTCGATCTGAAAAGTTGTTTTCTCGTTTTAGTATCATACCATATCCACTAAAGATTGTCCTAAGCTTAAAATATGGAAGAAAAAAAACATTTACTCGTGTCGAAAAGACTTCACAACCTCAACCCTTACGAAAAGACCCTCGTGGAGGCACCCGAATGACTATGTGAAAAACCTTTGTTTCTTTCGATGTCTTTCGACGAATATGTAAGGAATTGCTCAAGTTCAAGTGTCTTACACATATAAATGGTTAAAATACGAATTTTTTTCACTTTCGCTTGCGGGCCATTTTGCACTCAAAATCCATAGGTGTTAACATAGGAACTTTTTTGCCCATTGAGACTAGGTCGTTAACTCGATCTGAAAAGTTGTTTTCTCGTTTTAAGTATCATACCATATCCACTAAAGATTGTCCTAAGCTTAAAATATGGAAGAAAAAAACATTTACTCGTGTCGAAAAGACTTCACAACCTCAACCCTTACGAAAAGACCCTCGTGGAGGCACCCGAATCACTATGTGAAAAACCTTTGTTTCTTTCGATGTCTTTCGACGAATATGTTAGGAAACGCTCAAGTTCAAGTGTCTTACACATATAAATGGTTAAAATACGAATTTTTTTCACTTTCTCTTCCGGGCCATTTTGCACTCAAAATCCATAAGTGTTAACATAGGAACTTTTTTCCCCATTGAGACAGGGTCGTTAACTCGATCTGAAAAGTTGTTTTCTCGTTTTAGTATCATACCATATCCACTAAAGATTGTCCTAAGCTTAAAATATGGAAGAAAAAAAACATTTACTCGTGTCGAAAAGACTTCACAACCTCAACCCTTACGAAAAGACCCTCGTGGAGGCACCCGAATGACTATGTGAAAAACCTTTGTTTCTTTCGATGTCTTTCGACGAATATGTAAGGAAACGCTCATGTTCAAGTGTCTTACACATATAAATGATTAAAATACGAATTTTTTTCACTTTCGCTTGCGGGCCATTTTGCACTCAAAATCCAGAGGTGTTAACATAGGAACTTTTTTCCCCATTGAGACAGGGTCGTTAACTCGATCTGAAAAGTTATTTTCTCGTTTCCGGGCCATTTTGCACAAAAATTCCATAGGTGTTAACGTATGGAGTTTTTTCCCCTTTGAGACACGGTCGTTAACTCGATCTGAAAAGTTATTTTCTCGTTTTAGTATCATACCATGTCCACTTAAGATTGTCCTAAGCTTAAAATATTGAAGAAAAAAAACATTTACGAGTGTCGACAAGACTTCACAACCTCAACCCTTATGGAAAGACCCTAGTGGAGGCACCCGAATCACAATTTGAAAAACCTTTGTTTCTTTCGATGTTTTTCGACGAATCTGTAAGAAAACGCTCAAGTTTAAGAATCTTACACATATAAGTGGTTAAAATACGAATTTTTTTCACTTTCGTTTCTGGGCCATTTTGCACTCAAATTCCATAGGTGTTAACATAGGAACTTTTTTCCCCTTTGAGACGGGGTCGTTAACTCGATCTAAAAAGTTGTTTTCTCGTTTTAGTATCATACCATATCCACTAAAGATTGTCCTAAGATTAAAATAAGGAAGAAAAAAAATATTTACTCGTGTCAACAAGACTTCACAACCTCAACACTTATGGAAAGACCCTAGTGGAGTCACCCGAATCACAATATGAAAAACCTATGTTTCTTTCGATGTTTTTTGACGAATCTGTAGGAAAACGCTCAAGTTTAAGAATCTGACACATATAAGTGGTTAAAATACGAATTTTTTTCACTTTCGCTTCCGGGCCATTTTGCACTCAAATTCCATAGGTGATAAGATAGGAACTTTTTTCCCCTTTGAGACACGGTCGTTAACTCGATCTGAAAAGTTGTTTTCTCGTTTTAGTATCATACCATATCCACTAAGAATTTTCCTAAGCTTATAATATGGAAGAAAAAAAACATTTACTCGTGTCGAAAAGACTTCACAACCTCAACCCTTATGAAAAGACCCTCGTGGAGGCACCCGAATCACAATCTGAAAAACCTTTGTTTCTTTCCATGTTTTTCGACGAATCTGTAAGGAAACGCTCAAGTTTAAGAATCTTACACATATAAATGGTTAAACTATGAATTTTTTTCACTTTCGCTTCCGGGCAATTTTGCACTAAAATTCTATAGGTGTTGACATAGGAACTTTTTTCCCCTTTTAGACAGGGTCGTTAACTCGATCTGAAAAGTTGTTTTCTCGTTTTAGTATCATACCATATCCACTAAAGATTGTCCTAAGCTTAAAATATGGAAGAAAGAAAACATTTACTCGTGTCGAAAAGACCTCACAACCTCAACCCTTACGAAAGGACCCTCGTGGAGGCACCCGAATCACTATGTGAAAAACCTTTGTTTCTTTCGATGTTTTTCGACGAATCTGTAAGGAAACGCTCAAGTTTAAGAATCTTACACATATAAATGGTTAAAATACGAATTTTTTTCACTTTCGCTTCCGGGCCATTTTGCACTCAAATTCCATAGGTGTTAACATATGAACTTTTTTCCCCTTTGAGACAGGGTCGTTAACTCGATCTGAAAAGTTGTCGGAATTTTGTTGATTTGACCATTAGAGGTAAAATCATATGTATTTGTATTCATCCCAAATCCTACCTTCCTTTCTTTCCATGCTTTAGTTCAGAACGCCTGTTTGCAAAGATAGAGAACACAACCGTTTCACAACCAAATTTGCTTATGGAAGCAGTTGAACAAAGGGGTAGAAGATATTTAGTTAAATCAAACAAAATAAGAGTGAGCTTCTGGAAGTTAGCTCTCAAACGGCTAACAACTGTAAATAAATAGAAAGGTGGTGCAGTTAGAGATGCGCATTCTGTGAGGCTTTCTTTCTTGCACTTCTTGGTTCTGATTTGGCCCATCATTTTGTAACGCTTTCTTTCTTGCACTTCTTGGTTCAAGCAAAATGTAAGCATACTTCTGAAGCACTATGATTCCTTGTGCATTTGTCTTCTTTATTTTACTGTCTTGGCCCCAAAGCTTCGTATGTACTAAATAAATGAGATGGACATAGCGCCATGTACAGGCACAAGGCAGAGTTGGAGGAGTTAGAAGAGGATTTAAAAGAGGAGTTAGAAGAGAAGTTAGAAGAAGAGTTAGAAGAGGAGTTAGAAGAAGATGCACGTAGGAGGATGGAAGAACTAATTCAGAAGAATGTTGCTGAAAGGTTAAATTCTGAAGAGGTTAAATTAGAAATACAAAGGCGAATAGAGGAAGGTCGCAAAAAATTGTTTGATGATGTTGATCTGCAACTTGAGAAAGAGAAAGAAGCCGCCCTTACGGCTGGAAGACTGAAAGAGGTACCCATTTTCTTTCCTATTCTTTTTGCTACATTTTATGGTTGTACAACGCCAAGTGCACATTGATACTCATCATATGTATTAGAAGAGATTACTTTGGGTAATAAAAATACAGTTTGCGATCATACAATTTGGACAAAGTAAACACAAGGTGTTGATTTGCGATCACTTCTCCAGGGATATTGGTTTCATCAGAGATTTTAAAATACAGTTGCTTTTGAGAATTCTAATCTCCCATTTATTGCTTGATCACTAACCATTTCCATCAATACTCATGCTTGCTTACACCATAAACTAATGTCTTTTGCCGTGTTGCCTACATGACTAGTAGTGGTTGTTGTGGCATGGATGAGGGGGTGTGTCCATCCGGTGAATCTGTTGAAATGGCAGGTAGTGGGGATAGCTAGGAGGTGTAGGAATTACGGACTTCCACAATGATACGATATTATTCACTTTGAGCATAAGTTCTCGTAGCTTTGCTTTTGATTTTCCTAAAAGTCCTCGTACTAATGTTTATATGCACGTTTTTTGGGGAAATTTCTGTCTATATTTCCTGTTAAATTGAAGTATGATGTTGTTGAATGTAACATTTGGCAGGAACAGACCCGGAAAGAGAGAGAAGAGGTGGATAGAATGCTTGAAGAGAATAAGAGAAGGGTAGAAGAAGCTCAGGGAAGAGAAGCTCTGAAGCTTATTCAGAGACAAAAATAGGAGACAACTCGGACAAAAAAGCTGGAATAAGAAGAAAATATAGAATGGGAATAGGAAGAAGATGGTTTTTTTCTTTTTTTTTGGGAGCTCTGAGTCTTTCTGTTTTGTGGTTGTCCTTTGAATATGACATGGACTACATAAATTTTAGGTAGTTGATTTGTTAGATCTATTAAAAATGAGAAATAAAGGTGGGATCCAAAGTCAAATATCCATTAAGTAGGATACAAGCTATCTACTAAACCCTATATACATAAAATATATTCTACAACTAACTTTATAGCTTAAATCAAATTTTATAATATGATCTCAATCCGTAACATAATTTAGTACGATGTGAAACTTTGGACCTATTAGGTTCATGCGTAAATATTTTATTTTATTTTATTTTATTGGCATTTTGTTTCTATTAGAATTTTTATGATTTTAGATGCTAAATGTGTTATTTTATTCATTATTAATTTAGATGCGCAATGAATTAAACCACTCACTTAATAATTAAAATTATCTAATTATTTTGGTCTCAAATATAAATACTAAACTAAGAGTATCTAATTATCTTATAATTATATTATATTTTATTTAATTCAAATTTATCATTTTTTATTTTAAAATCCCTACCTTCTCTCCTCATTATGCTAGGCTGTTTTACCTTTTTTATCAGCTCAAAAAAAAAAAAAAAAAAAAAAAAAAAAAAAAAAAAAAAAAAAAAAAAAAAAAAAAAAAAAAAAAAAAAAAAAAAAAAAAAAAAAAAAAAAAAAAAAAAAAAAAAAAAAAAAAAAAAAAAAAAAAAAAAAAAAAAAAAAAAAAAAAAAAAAAAAAAAAAAAAAAAAAAAAAAAAAAAAAAAAAAAAAAAAAAAAAAAAAAAAAAAAAAAAAAAAAAAAAAAAAAAAAAAAAAAAAAAAAAAAAAAAAAAAAAAAAAAAAAAAAAAAAAAAAAAAAAAAAAAAAAAAAAAAAAAAAAAAAAAAAAAAAAAAAAAAAAAAAAAAAAAAAAAAAAAAAAAAAAAAAAAAAAAAAAAAAAAAAAAAAAAAAAAAAAAAAAAAAAAAAAAAAAAAAAAAAAAAAAAACTACTTGGGATAAATTAGTCCAAATTTAAATTGAAAATTCTAAATAAGTTACATCTAAACATATCTGCATGCAAGTTAGAAGCTTTGGCAATTAGTTAGCCCAAAAGAAATACCCAAGCCCAACCCAACTCGTCTCCCTCGCTTCAACTCTCTCTCTCTCTCTCTCTCTCTCATCTTACACCGCCGGCAACTTCTCGAATTGCTTCTCTGCAATGGCGACCACAGCTTGTTTCATCATCGTCAGTAGGAACAACATCCCTATTTATGAAGCTGAAGTCGGATCTGCTGCTAAAGTATTTCCTTCTTTTTCATTTTCTATCGTTTCACGTTTAGATCGCATTTTTCCTTCACGAGATCGCCAGAAAAGAAAAAAAAGATGATTTCATTTTGGTTCTTTAATTACTTTAGTTTTGACTGTCATTGGTCGCTCATCTTTTTGGCTTGACATGAAAGAGAGAGGATTCTGCTCAGCTGCATCAATTTATATTGCACGCGTCCCTTGACATTGTTCAAGACCTGGCATGGACTACTAGTGCTATGTGAGGTCTTATTCCTTCAGTTTTATTATTAGATCATCGAGATACCTCTTTTTTCTTCTATTTCCTTTGAAATTCCCTTTAGATTCTTTTTCTTGGTGCGTTTTTTGCAGGTTCTTGAAAGCAGTCGATAGATTCAATGATCTGGTGGTGTCTGTTTATGTAACCGCTGGCCATATCCTTTAATATCGAGGGGGGTTTTTCGGGAACAATGTGATGGGAATTGAGTCAAATTTCATCAATTTATTTACTTTTAAAAGAGCCTCTTTGGTCTTTGGTCTTAAGAATGCTGGTTTTAAGAATTAATGATTGCCCTTCTCTTTTTTTTCCCGGTCCAATATTTGTTCTCGAGAATCTATACCCTCACCACCCCGATTGCATTACTGAAGTATTTATACTGATAAAACGGTCCCAATCCTTTTTTAAGATATAGCAGGCAAAAATTTTCATTGTAATGGGATCAATGTTGTACTATGATTCTGGAATTCTATATACATTTGAGAGATTAAATTCAGTTTATAGTTCCTATTATTTCCTTTTCTGGTTTTTCTTTGACTATTCACTACATACGCGATTGATGTTACTTCATGACTCTCGCAATGATGATGGAATCAAGAGTTTTTTTCAAGAGGTTCACGAGCTTTACATAAAGGTAAGTTTGACATGTTTCTTAGGTATTATTATTATTATTATTGCTATATTGGAAGGTGTAATGCTTGATTTACTATGGTATATTACTTAGGTTGAGTGAACTGTACCTCATTTGAATAGATCCCACTAGATAGAGTTCATTCTTTTCCCTCAAATATACTGAATTTTGACATTTGAATGGTACAGTTGTTAAATAAATAAATAAATTGTATCCCTTGAGTCTTAACTGTATATATTGACCAAAAAGAGTAAGTGGTTGATTTGTTATGAGTTCAGGTTGTCATCTTGAGTTTGCATGAGGCTTGAGATAGGGGTGGCAAGGATGGTTCATTTTTTGGATCCCTTGTTGTTTGGTCGTGTCAGGATGCTTAGATTCATGGCTCCTCTAGATTCCTTCAATGTGTTATTATTGTCTCTGTAGCACAGGATTGTGACCTATTTCTTCTAGGGAAATTAATTGGCTTTTGGAAATAAAATTGATAGAATGATTTGAAATCGTGTAGTAAAGTTACAAAATATTGTTAATAATTTATCGAGTGGATTTACGTGTTTGTCCCATGAAATTGTTGAGGTGCACTTAAGAGGGTCCGGACACTCACAGATATATGAAGAAAAAAAATCTAATGGGTTAAGATTTCATCATCATAATTTAATTGCTGAAAGAACTATTTGTAGAAAAGCTATGTTTGGAACATACCAAGATTTAATATCCTCTAACAGTGTACTTCAGCATTATGCTCAACTTGATTACATCACATTGAACAAAATGTTAGTGATAAAGATTTCCCGACTTGTCTGTCATCTTCTCCTGATATATGATTCAATTAGCCAATCAAACTTTGAATGCTTGAGGCTTTCTTGAATGGTAAGAAAGTGGTGTCAAGAGGGGAGTGTAATTGTTGTTCTGCTGATTTGTATCTGCTGTCATAATAGTATGATCCGGAGTACCACCCATCCCCAGCACTACGTACTTTTCCGTTGGAAAAAGTTTACCAATCAATGTATGGTATGCCTTTAATCAGCTATTCTGCAAATGAAATTAAATATTTCCTTGATTATTCTAGATTGAGTTTCCTATACGAGAACTTCTGTGACTCCTCTCCTTCATTTATTATTATTTTCTCTTTTGGTTTTTTAGTGCACTGTTAGTTGGTATTCCTATCAAGTTTTGTAAGTTTCATCTAGTTAGGATTTCAAAACCTTTAATTCACGTTTAGCACTACATTAGATAAAAGGTTTGGCACTTTGGTTTGGTCTCCGTTAGTCTACTCTGTACTATATTTGAAACTTAGTGAATGATGTAACATTGTTGTTGCAAAGATTTTGACGAGAGTGATTAAATTTTGTGGAATATTTTTATATTATTTATCCATTCCAAATTGCTTTGTGAATTTGCAGACTATACTTAATCCCCTCTACTTGCCTGGATCCCGCATCACATCTTCACATTTCGACACAAAAGTCCGTGCACTTGCGAGGAAGTATCTCTAGTGTTCACCTTGATTGCAGACCAACTGTGCTTTGTGACAATGAGCTTCAAAGTTTATAGCAGCATTGATTTTTCTATAATTGTGTTACATTTTGATCTTTTCTTTGCTATTTGTGGTCCTGACATTAAACCACTCAGTAGTTAAATATTGCTCAATGTCAATTATGGACTTTGTATGGCTTGATTACGAGCAGGAATAATAGCACTTAACAGCATTGATGTAATGCCCTCCCCGCTCCCTTTTACCCATCTTTTTATTGTAGGGAGTCCTATTGTGTTCTATCTTTTACAAGACAGGAATACTAAAATCATGCAAGAATGCGTTTTGAAGAAAGCTAAAGAGACAGCCCATTCCTTTTTTGAACTTTTGTGGTTGTTCCTTTCGATTTCCTTTACTTGCAATTAATGATTTGTATGGCACAAAGCAATATAAAAGGATCTCTTCAACAAAATGCCATCTATCATCCAGGGCCCGAGGAAAAGAATAAGAATCCCTCTCGTGAAGTCTCCTCCTCAGCGGGGGAAAAGAATAACAAACAAATCCATGAAAATGTTGCGAAAGAAAGATGTGATTCTTGGCGGGATAGGAAGGTTATATTTATTATAAGAGAACCGAAATTGTGGTTGAAAAGGTCTAGTGTAACCCTTGGAAAAGGAAGGTAATAAGCTTATATGAATCCGGGTCCCGAAACAAAACAGAACAGAAAAAAAGAAAAAAACTCCAAGCCCAAGAGACCACAACCAAATCTCCACAAATTCCATCAACCATTTTTCAAGTTTTGGTTCCATTCCTTAGAGATGTCCCGAACCCACAACAAGGGTGCAAGAAACTGATTTTATATGGGCTTCGATTGTCGAATCATGGGGAAAGGGGTATTGATGATATTGGTGCCGATGGTGTTCTCCATAAGCTGTTTGGCTCCATGTTCAGCTTCTTCCTTCTTTAAGGATAAGCTATGGGAGAGGAGGAGGCCAACTCTGTCGGTGCCGATCGCATCCGCATCCTCTTCGATTCCTTCATCCTCTATTGTGCTGCCTCTTCAAGGGAACGTCTTTCCAAATGGGTAAGCCACAACTCTGCTCACAGCTCCACCATGTTTCAGCTTTTGTTTTTCCTATTTCGATTTTACTCTACTGTTTCGAAGTACGGAAGTGGCTGAAAAGGGAGTTCAATGTGATTGTGATGCCTCTTAGTATCACATTGATGTCGTTTATCTTAGTGTGTTGTAACAACCTGGAAAAGAATGGGAATTGGAGTTTGGAAGGCCGTTGCAAATCTTATCTTAATGTATCTTCTCCCCCCGTGTTAAATGGGAATTGAGAAGACTACGAGACTCTGTTTCCCATGTTTTGACTTTCTGCCCTAAGTTCTTATTCTGTTTCTGTACAATTGCATTTGAGGTGTATTTATGAGTGCTTTTCAAAATGGCTTTTTAATTTTGAAGAAAAGGAACACATCCCCAAAAGAAGTGTTTCTATAATAAGACCCATTTGAAGATATATATCTCTGTTCTTGTTGAGGCTCACTTTCTTTACTATCAGAGCATAAATAATTCTTTTCATCAATGTGTTTGAGATCATATAATTTGTATCCTTTTTCAGGTTCTATAACGTTACCCTTTTTATAGGGCAGCCTCCAAAGCCTTACTTTCTAGATCCTGACACCGGTAGTGACCTCACTTGGCTTCAATGTGACGCTCCATGTCAGCAGTGCACTGAGGTAAATTGTTATTTGATTCAGCAGTTAATGTTCATTGCAAGGGTATTCTTGAAAATATGATGACCAAATGAACGAAGAAAGTTACTAAACTACACCTTCGGCTTCAGTTGAGTTAGTTCTCATCACAAGTAATCTGAATTCCCATCTTTGAATGTATGTTTTATTTGAAGTCTCCTCAATATTCTTCTTCTTGATATGCTTATTGCTTCTGTCATTTCTTTTGGTGTTGAGAGTTGAGATTGAATGTATCAAATTGATGACCTTGTTTCCCTTTCAGACACCTCATCCGCTCTATCAACCAAGCAACGATCTTGTCCCGTGTAAGGACCCTCTGTGTATGTCCTTGCACTCATCTATTGACCACAGATGTGAGAACCCAGATCAATGTGACTACGAGGTTGAGTATGCAGATGGAGGTTCGTCTCTTGGAGTCCTTGTCAGGGATATTTTTCCTCTCAACTTAACCAATGGGGATCCAATTAGACCCCGTTTGACCCTCGGGTAAGCCGCTTGACTGCCTCAGTTATTCTTCTTAATCAAATTACTTTGTTGAGTTCCTGGCAACCTAAACCAACCTTGCGTTTTCCAATTAAAACCATACATGAGAGCTATGCAAAAATAAACACCTTTTCATGCTGCCATATATTTTCTTTTGGCGTGCAACACAACGGATAGCATAATGTAAAGCTAGAGCTTATGCTGAAAACGGAACATATGTATTCATGAAGAACCCAGATAATTAAGGTCGCAACAGGCACTAGATTTCGTGACAGAATGATTCTGATTAGTATTTTCAACAGTCATCAATAAAGACTATATAGTACGAGAGATTTATATTCGGTGTGCTTCTAACCGTAGTTTCCGGTTCGTGTGGTTAAATAAAATGCATGTAGAGTCAGTTGCATGTCAGCTATTTGAATCTGTAGTACTGAGTTTTGTTTCATTTGATTACACTCAGATGTGGTTATGATCAAGATCCTGGATCATCATCTTATCACCCCATGGATGGAGTACTTGGCCTTGGAAAGGGAGCAGTAAGCATTGTTTCACAGCTGCACAATCAGGGCATTGTCCGTAACGTTGTTGGTCACTGTTTCAGCAGCAAAGGAGGAGGATATCTTTTCTTTGGGGATGATATTTATGATCCGTATCGCTTAGCTTGGACGCCCATGTCACGGGACTACCCGTAAGTAACCTACCTTGATCATACATTTATCTTGTTATGATTCATGTCGACTCCTAATCTCACGAAACATGCTCTATGTGATTGTATCAGGAAGCACTACTCCCCTGGGTTTGGGGACCTATTCTTCAATGGAAGAAGTACTGGACTCAGAAACCTCTTCGTAGTTTTTGACAGTGGGAGCTCTTACACATACTTCAATGCTCAGGCTTATCAAATTATAACATCTTTGGTAAATCATCCGTAAAAAAAACCTTCGATTCTTTTTCTCAATGATTCTTTAGTTCATGTTGGTACTGTTCTTGTAGTTGAATAGAGAACTAACTGGGAAACCGCTAAGAGAAGCCAAGGATGATGACACGCTGCCGCTCTGCTGGAGAGGGCGGAATCCATTCAAAAGCTTACGTGATGTGAGAAAATATTTCAAGCCATTGGCATTGAGCTTTTCCAGTGGTAGAAGAAGCAAAGCAGTGTTCGAAATGCCAATGGAAAGTTATCTTATAATATCGGTAAGCTCCAAGCCTCTACAACTACAATTTATAAGTTGAATGATTTAACTTATAAGTTTTGGATTGGCAGTCCAAGGGGAATGTTTGCTTGGGAATTCTGAACGGCAGTGAAGTTGGGCTTGAGAACTCCAATATCATTGGTGGTACGTACGTTATTTTGCATGCATTGCATGTTATTTCTCATAAAAACGAATGCCGTCATAGCCATGCAAAATTATTCTTTTATTAAAGAGAAAAAGGGAAAAAAAGAAGCCTCATCTTGTGTGGGGTTTGGTTGACAGATATTTCGATGCAAGATAAGATGGTAGTGTACAACAACGAGAAGCAAGCAATTGGATGGGCTACTGCTATCTGTGATCGGGTGCCCAAGTCTAGTGTTGGTAGCTTGTGAAGATACATGATCAGAGATCTTATTCTGAAAGGAGTGTTTCAGGAGAAGTCCTTGGAGTTGGCAATAGGATATAGATAAAATTTGTATTAAAAGCTAATGTATGTATACACAACAATCATAGCAACCGAACAAGTTGTTTGTAATGTAACATGAAATACACTTGGATTGATTTACCAAGTGCAGTAATAGAATTGGAACTGACATTATTTATTAATTCTGCTTTTGGAATTACAAAAATCAATCTGATTTCATTCATGTCTGGTGCAGCAGCATCATTTGGTTTGTCGCAGTTGCAGGCAGCCTTGGGATTATACGAGGCTTGAATGAGAGGGGCTCGAATAGGGATGATGAAGGTCGTCAACTCTAGAAGCAGAGGTCGGTCAATTCTCTTCTAACTAAATTCTTCATTCCAGCAAAAAAAAGGAGACATCACAATACTTTTGGGCATATTGGTTTTGGGTTCATCAAAGAATCTGCTAAAAATATGGATATTATGTTATATATAGTAGAAAGCGGAAGCCTGGCAATGGGGTTGAATGCAACCCCTTAGTCCATGCCCTTACGGCGGCGGCGGCGGTGGTGGTGTGGTTAAATCTGCCTCTGTAAACACGAAAACATATCCTGAAATGGCGGCAGATGGTCCATCTGGAACGGAACCTGACTTCCAAATGGATCGTCCTCAGTCATGGAGAAAGAATCCATGTAATTGAACTGGAAAAAGTCAAAGTCTGGTGCTCCTCCACCCCACTTGGGTTCACTTTGGACCTCCTTATCCCACGTGACCTCCGGCGATGTCACCGGATCGGAGCCACTGGAGTCGTCGGTATGCATTATGGGCACCGAATCCGAAGTGTCCATATGCAATTGGTTGTTATGGATTGGGAGGTGTAGCATGTTGGTGGTGCTAGGCATCGTAATAATGGGCTTCTCTTCCTCGAAGTCTGGGAATTCGGTTGCCTTGTCGTCGGTGGATTGGTAATGCTTTTCTATGCATCCCTTCTTGTTGTAGATACGACACAGCACCCAGTCATCCAACTGCAAAAATTAATGAACCCACAGGAGCCATCAACAACCAAATTCAAATTTCAAACCGGAAACAGAGATGGGGTGAAGAGTTAGTTACCCTCAAGTTGTTGGGTTTCTTGGTAGCGGATCGGTCAACGTTGGCGAGGCGATACTCGTGCATAATCCAATTGGTCTTGACGCCGGTTGGGGCCTTGCCGGCGTAGAAAACGAGTGCCTTCTTGATGCCAAGAGGTTTGGGGCGGCCGATGGGCTTGTCAGCGCCGGTAGCCTTCCAGTAGCCGGTACCAGCAGCACGGTTGGGGCGGGAGCCGTTGGGGTACTTGCGGTCCCTTGGGGAGAAGAAATACCACTCCTTTTCACCACAGACAGCCAATTCTGGAGAATGAAAACGGAAAACGAAAATTGAAAAAGGGAAGAAAAGAGAAGAAGAGGAAAATAAAGGGAGAAATTGAAGAAGAAAAAGATACCAGGAAGGTGCCAGGGGTCGTATTTGTAAAGATCGATCTCCTTGATAATGGGGACGGCGATGGGCTGAGAGGAGCACTTTCTGCAGAGGTAGTGAAGGACTAGCTCCTCATCAGTAGGGTGAAATCTGAAGCCTGGAGGTAACTCGAGCCCAGCTACGGTCATTTGCTATCGGATTGGTGCTTTGGAACTGCTTCTCCGCTCTGTTCGTGTGGGTGGGCGTGTTGCCGGATCTGATCTAACTCCGATGAGCGAGCGGCGGCTGGGTTCAGGAATGGGTGAGCACAGAGGGGGAAGAATGAGAGATATATATAACCAATTCGGTGACTTCTCATCTTCTAGAACCCAAACCCAAAACACACATGCCACGCCATTATCAAATCTAAAAATAATAATAAATAAAATAATTTATGGTCTTTGTTTTTTTAGTCCCAAGTAATATATTGGAAAAACGTTAATTAAGGAAAAATGAATAATAATGTTTAGGTGTAAGTGAGGAGGGGAGTGACGAATGGAATATGGACACGTGAAGAGGGTGTTTAGGCGTTTGTGTCACTGCCTGCGTCAGCACACAGCTGGGGTGCTTGAATGTCGGCTAAGGAAGAGAGTGCCTGGTCATAAAGGGAGGTTGACGGTCGACAAAATGGTCAGCAGTAGGGTCCCACCCCCCCTCCCATCTTACCCATAAATCCGCCTTCGCCTTGCTTTGAATAACTTGCGTTGAGCTCTCTGACCCTGACCCCGACCCTGACCCTGACCCTGACCCTGACCCTGGAATTTTTGCACGTGCGACATCTAACACCATACCACACACATGCCCATGCCCATTTTTTTCCACAAGTCATAACTAACAATAATACTTTGTTATGTTTTTTTTATTAAATAACTAATGTACATATTTGACTCACTGTTATTGTTTGTTACACATAGTATTGGAGGGAGAAAGTAAAGAGAAAATATTTTTCAAGAATTATTTATTTATTTATTTATTTACCTGAAAGAAATAGCAGTTATATCGTAGACTAAATATCGTGCCACTGATGACATGGCAAGTAGCATTATGCAGAGCAGAGCAGAGCTAAAAAGGCATAATATACATTAATATAATATGGAAGTGGTAATCACACCCACACCAGCACGCAAACAAAGCAAGAGGGAGAGGAGGATGCTTCCCACACATTTTCATTTTACCACTTTTTTCTTTTTTTTTTTCTTTTTTTCTTTTTTTGGTCGTTTTGTGTTGTAGGGGCCCACACCTTTTCTCCAAGTGAAAATGACGCAAACGTTGGGCTACTTTTTCCTTAGATTTTGTCCCCCCTCCCCTTTTTTTCTTCTTGAGACTTCTTTTTAGCACCTCACCTTATCACCACCTGCTTAAATCCTCCAAACGCACAATTTCTGCTCTGCTGTGAATTTTTAATCATTATTATTCTCTTCACATTTAGTAAGGGCAAGGACATAATTGGAAAAAAAAAAAAAAAAAAAGAAGAAGAAGAAGGAACAATTGATAAGAAGATAGTATAGGAATAACACTAATTAAAATTATTTCTTTTTTAAACAGTGTCTCATACTATTTTATTATACAGTAGGATTGGCTGTCCTTTTAAAAATAACACCGGTCTATTAAATACCCACCAATTATGGTGATATTTTTGTAATCTTGATTAAACGACTCAATAGAAATTATATATATAAAAAAAAAAACATAATCACAAATCATGAGCCACTGTCCACCACCAAAATAAATAAATAAATAAATAAATAAAAATATTAATGAAGGAACTATTTTGCCGACCACTCGATTTGAAAAGGTCGATGGGCAGGGATTTTAGGGCTGGTGGGAAGGCTTTTAAAAGTTGAATGAAAACGAAGATGATTTCCATCTGGGTTTTGTTCTATTCTGGATAAGGCAGATCGGAAATTAAAGCTGAATCATTATACACCCAAATTCTCTCTAATCTTAGGCACAATCATTTCCTAAGCATTTCAATACACAAAAGGGAGATTATATTAAAAAATAGAAAAAGATTGCTATTTTGTTTTCTTGTTTTTTTCCTTGGGGGCGATGAGTTGAAAGTGACGCCATGCAGATATTCCTTACCGTGATCCACAATATTCTTTATTGTGCCTCAAGCTTCAATCCGCCGCCTTTTAAAGAAGGGAAAAAAAAGAAAAAAAGAAAAAAAAAATGGTCGTGGCAACTGGGTTCATGCATATCCCCAAGAAGGGTCGCTATCAAAGTTGGAAAAAACACACACATCCAGGTAAAATGAACATCCTTTGCTGCCTTCCCCGAACCTTCTTATCTTTTCCCTTCCAAGCCCTCAATATTGACTCTTGACTCCTTAAAACCTAGTGTAATAATTGTGGTCAAATTTCAAACCAATGGGGCCTGAGCCCATGTTAACAATCACATTCATCAGGCCCAACCGCAATGAACCCTTCACCTACAAGCATGCTCATGCTACTTACAAATCAAATATCCTACTTTCCTAACTCAAGTATCCATTCCTAAAGGAATCATTTATGAGTTAGGACTCATATATCCTTTTTCCTGAGTTCACGTCATAATAAAAAAAAAAACTAGATTCCTACCATTGCCCTTATAGATATAGATGGAGTGCTACCTGAGTGCCAAATACGCGGGAGCCTCCTTTTCGAGTACCCTTCCTGTTTCTTTGTTTTGCCCCTGTTTTCTTTCAGCAACCACAAGAAGATGCCAATTCCTATTGTTACCTAATATGCCATTCAAAGATTCGCAAGAGAACAGAAATTCAGTAAGGTTGGGTGCCCACTGTTTCTTTACCTTCTGTTTTCTTCTTATCCCTGTATAACTAAATTTCTACCATGGCGCCACATGTATTGTTTCTGTACTGTTTCAAAAGGTCAATAAACCCAAAGCTCTGACCATACGGGAGAAACTCAAAGCCAACTGTCAAGTTTAAACAATCAAATCATAGGATGGTAGAAACGAAACATTTCAGCAGGAACTTTTAATGTCTGCTTTCCCAAATGCTATTAGTTCAAGTCTTGTGAACAACAGTTTCAATCACCGGATGCACCACAAAGTGTACACCATTCTTTTCTTACCGTATCTTTTTCATTTCTATCATAAAGAAAATAATGAACTCTTACAAAATTTTTACCGTCCAATCATCTGTAATCAACAAGTTTGGCTTCCGAATGGTAAGGACTGATATGCGTCGCCCTGTTTGGAAGTGGAGTGGACCAAGTTCGATATCAACCTTTATATTTTCTGGCTCAACTAGAGCAGACTTTGATCCGGAGTGTCCCAGCAGTATAATCCTCTCAATAACACAGTTGGAAGAAAACTTCGTGCTGGCAGAAGCATTAGGCCTTACGTTCAATGAGGTGAGCTTGCCTGCTGAGAACACAAATCGGCGATGGATGTATGCCCCTTGCTTAAATTCAAAGCTTTTGCCATCATCAATGTAAAGCTCGCCTTCAGCTTCTTGTGAACTATTAAGAGCTACTACCTATAAAAGATACAAAAATGTTGTAAGCCACCAAACTAGAGATCTAATCGAGGTCCAGAGACTGAAAAAAAAAAAAAAAACGTGTATACATTCGCAGTATACTTCTTCCACCTAAACCACTAACTGGTTAAACTTAAAACATATTTGCACACAGCATGACGGAAATCTGAAATTTAGAAAACTATGGCATTGCTAATATGAGAAAGAATGCCTCTAGGAAGGGTATCAAGTACATACCAAAGTGTAGGGGTCATTCACCATCTGTGTGGAGCTCCGCCGAAAGCGGTCTTTTCTGGGCATTATTGTTCCAGCTTTCTGGAAGGCAGGGATGCCTTCTTCAGAAACCTCTAGCTGGTGGGTGATACCACCCTTATATGCAGTACCAGTTCTAAAATCATACCAAGATTGTTTTCCAGGCAAATACACCGATACTCTTTTAGCTTCCTAAAAGTGGAACCAATCACATCATAATATTGCATAAGGAAACAACAATCAATGAATATAAAACTTAAATAAAGTAAAAACTAGATGAAGCTAAAGAAAAGGGGGTATTAAAGGTTATAAAATGTTAAAGAAAAACTAAAAGCTAAATAAATTTCACTCTAACTCTGAAATTTGACAATGCGACATCTTAGCTCCTGATGTCAAAGAAATGATTTGGATTGTTCCTGAAATAAACGCTCCATTATTGTCCTCATAAGTTCAATGATCGATTTCCTTTTTTTTTTTCTATCATCGATTCCAAAATGACAATTCAAGTTCATATATTTACTTATGCAACCACTCCTCCTTCATGCACTTCTCTCTGCAACAATCTTCTCTCTATGAAAAACTCTTAACTTCTTCCTTGTCTTTCCTTTCAACCGTTCCTCTCTTTGCATGAAAGATCCTCACTTTTTTTTTTTTTTTTCGTCTTTCTATTCTTATGAAGATTGGCAAAAACCACATGAATCTAAGCCATCTTTAGGACATATCATGCAGAAAAACACTGGGGTCTGTCTCGCACATTCACCAACTGTAATCCAACTGTAATGACCAGTACTTTTTTTTAAATAAATAAAAGAGAAAGTTTGATGACAGTTGGAAAAGAGATAAAAAAAAGCAAGGGAAAAAAAAGGATGGAAGGTCTGGGGAGCCACTGACCGTATGCTGTGGCCATCATAACTCTAGAGATTTGGGACGCTTGGGAGATTTCTCTTATTAAAATTCGGTCTTAATTCAAAAATAATTTTTATCTTTGGCCATACTATTGCTATTCCAAGGAGGTTTATGACGGAACCTAAACAAGCTCTGAGGTACATGGCTCTTTTTTTTTCCTTTGCCCTTCTTTGATTTTGCCCAGATTTGGGCAGTTTAAGAAGCAAGGGAAGGCAATTGGACAAGAAACACAACAAAGAGAGGAGCTTGGATCAAGAACCCTACTCATGGAACCATCGTTGTCGGAGGTAGTCAACCGTCAATTCACCGTGGAGGAACTCAAAACCACCCAGCAATGCTATGATCACTGACTGAGGAACTGCGAGGGAGAAGGAGGGCACTCGGAATCGGGCAAAGGAGCTCGTGTCACATGGTGAGTTTTCTCATAAAATACCTATACCTAGAGAGCTTCACTCAATTTCCTAACGAATTAGGTTTTGCGCCGACGAAGTGAAATTGGCAGAACGTAAAGAGAGAACTAGGAGAAAGGAAGGGGCTTTGGTTTCTACAAGCTGTGCGGAGAATTTCTCCCGCGAGGAAGGAAGCACAACCTGACCCCGTCTACCTGACCCGACTCGACCCAACTAGCTGAACAACCCAACCGGTAAGATCTAACCCGAACCAACCTTTTTCCTTTTTTGTGTGGTTTGGCCTATTTTGCTCCAATTTTCACCCTGTTTTCACCGAATTTCATGATTCTTCACCTAATGGGACAGTTTAGGAGTGGGAATTTGGAATATCTTTGAAGGCCCAAAATCGAGTCAGGAAGTCTACAATCAAGTAGTCACTATGCAATACTCGTAGGGGTCGACAAGGACAATGGGTAAATTTATTAGAAAGCTTGATGAAAAACCCAATTCATCAAGTTGTATATAGTTAAGCTTAGGAACTTGTTCGTTTTCTGGTTTAGCATAATATTATATTTAAAGCTTCCGCTTGTATGTTTGAACTCTGATTAGTCCTAACTTTATGAGGACTCCAACCTGTCTCGTATGTTTGTAAATATGTTGATTGAGCATGTTGGACATCATTACATGAATGGTAGTATGTTATAGGGACTAAACACCCTTATTTGCCCAAATATTATCTTGGATATATGCTATGTGCCCTAGAGAGCCTAAATGAGTATGCATGAACATGAGCAATTATATCACATTCCCTTAGTTCTAGAACCTACATTGGGTCCCACAAGCATTTTCGGGTGACCAGACAAATCAAGTAGGGATGGCTGGGGCATAAACCCTGATCGTAAACTTTCCCAGCATGGTTGAGGTCTACTTGATACATTTGAGGTTAGTTGTCACCCACAAGGGACTCCGAGAGTCGTAGAGGGTATGCTACTAGGGTGAACCTAGAAGATAATTCATATGGGGTGCAAGCGGTCAAAGTACTGGTCTGCGTATAGTGCACTAGTTACCTCATACACATGAGACTTACCCACAAGCTCATTATAGGGCGAGTTGACTCCTGGGTCAATAGCACAGGGTAAGGGATGGACTGTGAAAAATGTAAACAAAAAGCTAAGTACAACCAAACCCTACATTATGATGGTATGAGGGGCATTAGCTATACACCCTAGAGTAGGAGTGTATAGGGTTTAGGTACATATAAGCCTTACAAGGCTAGCACAAATGGTAAGCCATGACATTGGTTAATACTAGAGTTAGAATATGAGCACATAACTTAAGAGACCATCGTAAGGATTAAGTTCGATGAGGGCCTAGAAATAGATTGCTTACTAAGTATTTTTATACTTATTCCATGTTCTTTTTTACAGATGGAGTGTAGACCACTGTCGACGAGGGGAATGTGCACAGCGTGTAGCTGCAGGGGTGCCCCTTTAGGTTAAGTTGTCTTCCTTCTTGTCATTTTCATATTATTTTAAATGTTGCTTCTCGAAATTTGTGTATTTTTGTAAACTGTTTTTATTCGACTCCGCAAATATTGTTTTGTACTTTTGAAACTACGTTTATGTCAGATTTGCTATTGGCTTTGAAACTAAGCTTGGAGATATCGAAAACCAGGTCATTACACCAACTTACCTTCAGTTTCTCAGGTGAGGTCAACGATGGGGAAAGAGAGCAATAGCCAAAACCCATACTCCCCATCAAACCACTCTCTCTTCCATATCCACCGCCCAATTTTTCTCAAAGAAAATGCTCTCTCAAGTTTCTCAGGTGAGGTCAAGGATGGGGAAAGAGAGCAATAGCCAAAACCCATACTCCCCTTCAAACCACTCTCTCTGCCATATCCACAGCCCAATTCTTCTCAAAGAAAATGCTCTCTCAAATCCTCATCACCCAAATGATTTCAGAGTCCATTTGTATTTTCTGTTTTGAGTTCTCTCCTTCCTGCAATTTCAAAGCTTCAGCATCTCTCTCTCTGTCTCTCAACTCTAGCACCTGTCTCTCTCCCTCTCTCTCCTTCCTCCAATAGCATAGCTCCCACATCCCCCTCTTGCACACTCATTGGCTTGTATATAGACCCACTTGCTACTAAGATGGGATGTTGACTCAGAGCTTTATGCTAAGTAAGCAACCTGAAGATAAGAAGCATGCGAGTCGGTGCAACTTATTTCAGGTGAAATGGGTTTTCGATGCTTCTTTTCCTCTCTATGAATCATCTTAAAGCTGCCCCTCGTTTCTAATGACCAGCCAAAACCGAAGGATGCAAAGAGAACAAAACAAATGCAAGACAAGAATGGCGCACTACAAAACAACCACATTAGCTCTCCACTTGAGCACTTAATTCGCTCAGTCACTAGATCATCCATAGTACTAAAAGAACAGTGCTTGTAGGGACCAATTTAGATCATTTCTCTAACTCTCAAAGCTTAAATTGTAGCCTTTTCTAAAATTAAGGGACTAGAGTAAGACTCATTTCGAGCTACAAGACAGATGTACCCTAGGGACCTCTCTTTCTCATGCTTTAAGAAACCAAAAATGCATCCTTTTCCCACTATTTGTTGTTAAATGAATTACCTTGGTATATATTCCCTGCACCAAAAGACCGCTCCCTACCATGAAAGCTTCATCATTTTTAAATGTAGCTTCATCAGATGGAAATTCCATCCACAATGGACGTACAACAGGAACACCACTTGTATTTGCTTCTCGAAATAGGGTATAGAAATAAGGTAGCAACATATAGCGGATGCGTATAGCATCTCTCATCAATTCTGTATTTCGTTCCCTGTAATAATGTAACAAATAACACAAGTTGTCAATAAAAAAAGAAATACAATTTCTATCACTAGTTAATTTTCCTCTGTTTTTATACATCTTGTTAACAATAGAAAGGAAGATAATTGAATTGCAGATTTAGTGGATTCCGTATCTGAGATCTCATAAGTTCAATGCATTGAAATCCAGCAGTTAATTTTACATCATAAACTCAGTAAAAACTTGATGGTGCCAACCATACTAGTTAACCATGATCATGAGACAACAAAACAGTGCTCCAACAAAAGCAAAATTGAGTAGACTAATCCAAACTTGACATGAACGGCTGAGAATTTTTCGCAAACTTGCATATGAACTAAAAAACATTTAACAAGACATGCTTTCTGATGGTTGACGACTTCCGTTAAGAACATTGTCAATAGATCCCTTAATTATATGACCTAAAGATCAAATTTGAAAGATAGAAGTACATGATATCCTACCCGAATAACCAAGGTTCTCTTCTTTTGGTGTCATGGTGAGCATGGCCCCTAAAGAAGGGATAAAAAGCACCTAGCTGATACCAACGCACTAACAGCTCAGTCTCAGGATTACCAAAAAAACCACCAACATCGGCACCTGTTGCAACAACTTACTATAACTGCTAAAACAAATGATAGTTCCACGTCCAACAAAGGAATCCATACCTGAGAATGACAATCCGGTAAGACCAAGAGTCAAAACCATCGGAACAGAAACCCTGAGATGATCCCAATCAGCTGAGTTATCTCCTGTCCATACTGCTCCATATCTTTGCGTCCCTGCAAAAAGTGCTCGTGAGAGCACAAAAGGCCTATCCTTACCATCACCCCGCTTAACTAGTCCCTCTGAAGTGGCCATGTGAAAGTAGTATCCATACGCATTGTGTAATTCCCGATGTTCCACACCTCCTTGATGTAAAGCATTTCGAGGCATTGTAACCTAGATAGAGACATCAGTTAGTTTGATAACATCACAGCGAAGTGCAGAAGAGCACAACCTGTTCCAAACTACTTTTTTCTTTAATATAAAACAATATATTATTTAATACAATAAATGAAAAATAAACAGCTAAGAAAATAAATGGTCTAAAAAGTAAGGAACAAATGACAAGGAAGAAGTCCTTATTCAATATGCACTTAAAGAAAAAAAGGTAAGCCTGACAGACTTAAGATCACTAGGTCAGAAATGAGTATTCTCAAAACTAAGTCTTCAACAATACAATTAAAAAAAATAAGCCTCTTACTTCTTTCCATCCAACCAGAAAGTGTATTGATAGCAAGGGAAATATGAATAGGAGAAAAGACCTTTGATTACTTCCAAAAGCTCAAAAGCAGGTTCATTCCACATAATTATAATATCATCAGAGGATCCGGAAGCCTCAAGAGCCAAACACCCAATCTTGTGGCCGCTCCAAAGGATTTGATGATGTAACGATCCACCAAAGCCAATTTTGTTTCTCGAAGGATGACAATAGCAGGATTGTACTTGAGAATGAGAGAATGAACGCGAGCCCTCTTCTCCAAAGACCCCAAACAGCAGATATTCCAAGAAAGAATCATATAGAAGATGTGGACCCATCCTTCACCTGCTTGGTTGTGGATTTATCGTAATTGATATGGGAGACAAGACCCGAGATTTCTCAGACAAGTTTGCTATGTTTTTTGGCTTTCAAGAGAGATTAAAAAGGAAATCCTTTCATCGCCAAAGATTTTCAATCGGCTTTCATCAACGGTAAGCAAATACTTAATGCACCTACTGCAGACGATACTCTACTCTTTCCATAAGCATCTTATTAAGTGGGCTAAAGTTCGTCTCCCTTTTGAAAATGTCGGCTTTAGTCCCCAAAGTATTAAAGACAAAAACTGGGTTCTCTTGGCAAAATGGGTTTGGAGATACCAAAAGGAAAAAAGGGCTCTGTGGCATCAGATTATTGATGCAAATTTTGGTACAAAGAACCAAAGTTACCATCCGGGTAGCATTCACTACATTCATCAAATGATCCTTAGAAAAAAATTCTGAAGCATAAATCTCTTATTCACAACACTGGTGACAAAAATTGGAAATGGGACTTCCACTACTTTTTGGCATGATCGATGGCTGGGGGTCTCTCCCTGGTATTTAGCTTACCCACTGCTTTTTTCCCTATCTAATAGACAACTCACTACTGTAAAAGACATGTGGAATAAGGATTTGGTTTTGTGGGACATAGTTCAGAAGGTAAAGAAGTGGCAGAATGGGCAGATTTTAGCATTATCTTAAACATCAACCATTAGTCAAGTGAGGAAGATTTCCGGGTGTGACCATTAGAGAAGTCTGGAAATTTCACTACAAAATCTCTGCTAAACAGCATTGCTCCCCGTTTACAGATTATCCTTGCCTTTGTATAAAGGCCATTTGGTCTGGCATTTATTCAAAGAAGATGAAATTCTTCATTTGCGAATTTGTTCATTTAGCTTTTAACACCACTGATAGGCTTCAATGCAAGTTCCCCTCCATGGCTCACACTCATAATAGGCTTCAATGTAACTTCGCTCAGATTTTTTGGAACTATCTGACGTCTGTTTTTAATTGGAAGTTGGCCCTACCAAAGGACCCCCATACTCTCTTATCTCCACCCGTATTGGGACACCCTTTTAAAGACGATGGAAAGTCCTCGGCAGAATCTGATTTGGGCATTTTTTGGTCGGTTCGGATCAAAAGAAATCATAGAACTTTTGTGAGCAAGGAAAAGACATTCAGTCTTCTTTGATAGCGTTCTGCTCCTAGCTTTACCTTGGGGTAAACTGAATTCATTTTTTTCCTCTTAAAGTATTTCATCACTTTTGACCAATTGGAAGATGTATATCATAATTCCATTGGTTTGGGGCTTTCTCTCCTCCTTTTTGTAAATTTCATACATCAATGAAACTATTTCTTATAAATAAAAAATATTTCTTTACAGCCAAGTACCTAAAGGACAACCCAAACTGAAGACTTAAATAAATGACTTTCTGCATAGAAGCCTGCCAATGGACATCCCAAATCATGAAGGAAGCAATATCTTACAGAAAATCCAGCAAACTCCATACTTCAAATGCAAATGGCAGTTCATACCATAACTTCTTCCCAAAAAAATAATCAGCACTAGAAAAGCACAACCTACGAGGCAAGTTTACTTCCCACCACAACCCCCAACCCCCGGGCTAGCAATAAAGACTATCATACCTTTATGCTTCTCCCCTCAAAACAATATCTTTTGATCCATAGATACATCCCTTTATGCAGTTGATCCATCTCCTTCCAAACCATTTCTTCTTGAAAACCATTATTAATAATTCCTAATCAACCATATCATGGGCTCTCCTATTGTCAATTTTAAGCACCTATCCTCAAAATTTTTGCCTGTATATTCTTCCAGAGCTCCATTTTGAACAAGGGTAGGATCAATTATTGGTCCCCTTTGATAAAAGCATTTAAACTTGTTGATATTGTAGAAGCTAATATCCGTTTCAATCGCTCATCCAAGTTTTTAACAACAATTTTATCAATATTAATGTATCTAAAATCTTTCGCCTTCTTCGCATTTTCTTCTTTTTTCTTTTGGTTTTGAATAGCTCATATATTATCAGAAAAAATTAACAAATAAGAGGCTCTAAATTCTTAAGCCAAGCCTTTTATAGCTGAGCACTCGATAATGAGTACATAAAGGCATCCCAGTGATAGATAGTATATGCTTACGTAACCAGGCATGCAAGAAATAATGGAAAACAGAAAAAGAATTGTGCCGAACAACACCTTAGAACAAGGAATAAATGTAAACAATTCAGTAAGTACCTCGGGACCATTGAAAACAGAAGGCTCGTTCATATCATTCCATATGTATAAGGAAGGAGTCGAACCAACATAGTTTTCTAGAGAGAACTTCTCTCCCCACCATGACCTAATCTCTGGACTTAACATGTCCAGGTACGATGATGAACCTGGCCAGCACCAGCCGTCAAAATCATTTCCAGCAGCATCCTTCACATAATATCCTTTCTTGCTTGCTTCCTTATGCAATGGAAAATTATCATCCCGCTTAATATGGGGATCCACTATGGTAACCATGCGTCTTCCTTTGGTAGCCAACTTTCTCTGCATCTCTTCCGGATTTGGAAAAAGCGCCCTATCCCATGTAAAATACCTTTTTCCATCCGTGTGCTCAATATCAAGCCACAAGACATCGTAAGGAATATCATATTCATCAAATTTAGAATCGACATGTGCCACATCTTCTTCATCCCTATAATTCCACCTACATTGATGATATGCTGTTGCAAAGAGCTGGGGCATTGCCGGAGTCCCAGTCACACTCGTGTACTGACGAACAACATCCTTAGGCCCTGGACCTACAAAAAAGAACGTGTCCACGATGCCCGCCTCACTCATCCAAAAAGTATCGATTCTATTTTGAGATGAAGGAAGAGAAATCCCAGATTCAGCATCCCAGCCAGATCCAAGAACATCAATTTGCATTTCAGCAGCATTCAACCAAAAAAAACCAGAAGTTCCACGCAATTTCCCGTGTGAAATCATGAAAGGGATCGACCCGTAAATCCCAAACGGAGACTCATGAACATATTCGAAAACATCCAAATTGAACAGCCTGTAAGGTTCCGACTCCTCGACATCGGGTCCTCTGGTGGGCTTCAGAGCGAGACTAGTTGCATGTTCCGGTATTCCATATACAAAATCAGTATCATAAAACGAAACGTCGAAACTAACGGATTGGGGACCGTACGGCCTGGTATCGGTATGCCCTCTGAACTTCTCCTCCCAGTCCTCGCCTTCTTCCTTAACCCTCAACTGCTCAAAATCGAATAAACCATGAGAATTTAGAGACAATACGCGCTTACCCGACTTCTCACGAACGAAAACCTCAAACGGATCTTGGCGAAGAACGGCCTCATAACTATCGGACAAGTACACAATCGAAGAGGGGCCCAAATCGTTGCCAATAGTCTCAGTTGAAATTCTCTGCAACCAGATCTTTTTGGTGTAAAACTCGTCGACAATAACGTCGGGCACCTGGAAACGCTTTTTGGGTGGAGCTAGAGAAGGATCCTCGTCAATCCTGAGGCGCAGAATGCCGTCCTGATACACAGAAAGAGCGAGTAACAAGGGCTTGGATTGATTCTCCAGGTCCTGATTCCTGGGGAGGAGGATGGCGGTGAGGTCCCCGTCGGAGATGGAAACGTCATGGGCAACTAGGGAACAGGATCCGGGCTTAAAGGCGCGGGCTCGCTTGCAGAAGGGAGTCTGATTGCAGGTCCTGAACTCTTCCTTCTTCCATGGGAGGACGAAGGTGAAGTGCAGAAGGAAGAGGAGTAGAAGGAGAAGGTAGGAAACGGTCATGGTAGAGCTTTGATCAGGCAGAGATCATAGTAGATTGTGCCGGCAGGGGAATTGGTGGTGAAGACTGCAGCTCCAAATCTCGTAGACGAATCGAGATACTCTTCTAGACTCCTTGCAATCAAGGAAAGAAATGGATTTGGGAGGTAACTAAAATGGAAATTTGGTTTTATAGTTCCACAAAACCTCCTACATCATCCGCATTGTTCCCAAGGCAAGGGTAATCGCTGCAATTAAAAAAAAAGTAAATGAAAATTTGGAGTTCCTTTTTTTTCCCCCCTAATTCAATCGGATCTCAAGGGGGAAAAATTGATTAAAAATTTAAATCAATTATAGCTTTTATAAACAACCCTAGAAATCCAAGATGAGATGGTATTTAGCGATGGTTGCAAAAGCGTGTTATTTTTAACATATTCCAAATTTTTAGGGTGCTAAAGTTGAATGAATTGGACACGTATTTTGAATAAAAATAGTTTTATCGACCATTTTTATCTTTCAAACAAGTACAATGGCCAATTTTTGGGTGCAGTAATGATTGTAATTTAGTATTCATCATAAATTTTTCTAAACCTAAAATTAATAAGATTTAAACTCTACACCTTCACTTTTTAACACCCACAAATTGAAATTCTTAAACAAATGTTTGAAAGCATGTGGTGCAAAAAAAAAATATATAATTAGTTATCGGTGACATTTTTCAAATAATAGAAGATGTTAAGTTAAATGAATTTAAGACAACTTTTTAGTAAAAATAAGTCTCAAAACTTGTTCTCTCTTTGTCCTTTCTTACGAGGATATTATTGGCAATTTTTAGCCATTTTTAAAAGAGATTTCAGGGTTATATTGAAATACCTCCATTCTCAATTAATTTTACAGTATATTTCTCATAGATTGTTATCATTTAAGACAAGTGGGGGGGAAAAATAGTCTATCAATATTTTTCAAATCATAATGAAAATGTTAAATTAATGAATTTGGCGCTTCTTTAAGTAAAAAAAAAAATTTCAAAAAGTTTTTTCTCGAGCAATTTTTCATTGTTGGAGTATAATTATCCATTTTCACCATTTTTAAAGCATTGTGGGCAAGAATTTCATTTCGTAGTTTGAATTCTAACTGTATTGCTCCTTGGCTATTGACCTAAAATCCCGATAATAAAAGAAACTATAGAACTTAAATAAAAGATAAGCACGTAGCGAAAAAGAAACGTCAACATTTTCTAATTCATAATAGAAGATGTTAAAAGTCAGATGATTTTGATATATATCTTAACAAACAAGACATGTCCAAAGATTCAAACTGTCATTTAAATAAAAAAGAATTATCAACCATTTTTTTGCCATATTTTAAAAAGGTATTATGACCATTCCTAAAGTTCTCCTTACACGTTTTAGTTTATTAGTATACCGCTCTATACTGTTTCAAACATAAAATCCCCTTCAATGGGTACATCTTTTCCTTGTTCAAATGTAACACCTTTTCCTTGACCAAGTTTGCAAAGGCTAAGAAATATCCATGCACAATATTTTACACCGACAAGTTCCTAAAATTATATTCTAGAATAATATATATAGCACATTACCATAATAGATAAAAAGGCGGATATCATCACTTACACGATCTATGATAGGAACTGGAAATTGTTTCACATTCATGGCTTCATAGATAGCTTGTTCAGAGCCGAAAGAATTCTCTCTTCAGTAATCATTCGGTGGTTTTCGTAGAAATCCAATATCTCAATAGAGATATTCTTGACCTGCAAGAAAAGAAATTTTAACTATCATGATTTCAAAAGAATGAGTTTCAATTCGAGAATGACTACATCAGCAACAAGATGAACATTCTTATAGAAAAATTTACTAGTACTACGGATGTACATACTCCTATTTAATATTTTATCATATATTATTTCAAAACAGCACGATTGATGACACATTAGAATACGTCTATTGCCTTTCTAGCAAAGAAGTGAAGCTCTGGATTGTAGACTTCTGGAACATCATATTTAATGAATATAAATGCAGCCTTGTTTCAAAACTACCGACTACCTCCAATTCCTCCGTGAAAACTGTTGATGGCTCCTACTAAAAAAGAAAAAATAGTTGGGACAGGTAATCTTTGCAGATTCAAACGTTCAAACCAAGGGAGACCGAACCACTTGAAGATGAGGAGATGGCAAATAGTTAAGGAAAACAAATCTTTAAACGAGAATCCCCAATCCGAAGGTCCTGCCAAAACAATATACGTTTACCATTGCCTAATTTGCAAGAGGCATAGGAATCAAATCGTTTCCAAGATTTGGAGATGCTAATCTATGGACTATCACTGGATGCCACAAAGACGCCGATCCAAGGACTATCATTTGATGCCACAAAGATGCCAATCCATGGACTATCACGTGAGAAATAAAAAATGCATCCATCTATCGAGCTACTTAAGAATTTTATCTATCACTGAATGCCACAAAGATGCCAACTTAGAATAACCAGCTAAAGGAAGACCAAGATACTGAGAAAGGTAAGCGACTTTCCAACTTACAATTAAGCTTCATTGACTATTAAGAATTTCATCTATCACCCAACGCCACAAAGCTACCAACTTAGGATAACCCGCTAAAGGAAGACCAAGATACTGAAAAAGGTAGATTCTCTACCTTACAATTAAAGAATCATTTTGCTTCAAAACATTGGTAAGCCTTTCAAGCAAGCTCGAGGGAATTGTTTTAGCCTATAAAAAGATTTCTCAAGTTTACATACCTCTCCCTTGGTATATTTTTCCTCAAATCCATGAAGTATATCCATATATACTTCTACTAGATCGCCATTCAGAAATGCATTTTTCACCTCTTATTGAAATAGAGACCAAACTAGATTTGGTACAACAGAAGAAAGTAGCCAAACAATATTAAACCTGGCAACTTGAGCAAAAGTTTCTTGATAGTATTCAACAGTGCGCTTGCCAAAGGGAAAATTTGTTGAGGATCCACATTTCGTTCTTTTCAAGCGCTTGCAACTCCCAAGCAGTTGTTTCTCATTAAGGTCTTTGTAAAGCTTCTTGAACCGTGTTAAGAGTTTGTATTTGATCTAAAGGCATTACAAAATCTCTAAAAAGGATGACAATTATTATAAGAAAAGTGATACTAAATAGGATGTTCAGTACATAAGCGAACATCTTTCCTTATAGCAATGGGGTTTTTCATCTTCTACTGTCCCTGGTTCCATTTCAGGGATTTTGGTTTTGATCTTGGCTTTCTTGAACTTGTGTAGGTTGCACATCAAATCTCTCCAATTGTTTATTTCTTCGTGAGTAAACTTGAAGTTCAGACTCAAGGAAAAATATGGGAAGTGACTCAAAGGAGGGATATGATTCTATGTTCTGAATAGGGTTGCAATGACTTAGAAGCTAGCTCAAAGAAGGATGAGATTCTCGATTTTGAGCTGATTGTGATATATAAAGGACTTGATCATAGTAAGGATATCTACTTCATCATAATAAGGATATATAGGTGTGCATGAAGGGAATTGAGGAATGCAGCCCTAATTTTGAGATTCATATCATGAAGTACAAGATTGCAAAAAAGAAAATAGGGGATTTTCAAAAAAGGTGACATACATGGTATGGAAAAATTGGCAAGTTGGAGGATAATAGCATTAGTATCCTTCTTGTAAGGTGAGTACCCTAGAAAGATACATTTCATTGATCATCATCAAGTTTTCCATGGTTAGATATTAGTTAAAACTATACACCCAAATAATTTTAGCGGTAGTTAAGACAAAGATGAGATGTAGGATATAGAGTAAGCAACTTTGTAAGGGTGCGTTGAAGCCAAGAATTCGAGAGGGCATACAATTTAGGAGATATGTGGCCGTTAGAATGACTTCTCCCAAATAAACTTTCGGAACATGTGAAGTGAACATTAAAGAACAGGCTAAATCAGGATGACGATTTTTGCATTCAACCACACCATTTGTTGGGGTGTCTCAACAACATAAGAGTTTTGATGAACAATGGCATGAGAATGAAAGACTTGGAATAACAAGCAGCATGAACAGTTTTTAAATACTTTGATGTTGACTTGAAACTAATTTGGGATCATTTTATGAAAGACTTGGAATAACAAGCAAGTCTCTGATTTTATCTTTCATAAGAAATGTTCAGCTGAAATGAGTGTGAGAGTCGGAACCATCGTGCCCCAATGACATTCTTTACCCTTGAAGGTCCCACAAATAATGGAGAAAGGTGTGGAGGGTGTATACAAATAAGGAGAAAAATGAGAGCGTGTGTGTTTTGAGAGTTGACACACTTCACATTGAAAGGACTGGCTCTTTTTATTGACCTAATTTTGAAGACTTGAATAACAAGTTGGATGTTGAAGAAGTTAATAGCATTCTTGTAAGTAGCATCTTAGGAAGTTAGATTTGTTATTTTTTTTCATGACAGTCTTTGATCTCTGAAGTATAGGACTAATTAGATTTGTTTACCTTTTCAGCCTTTTTTGTTCTTCTTTTTATTTATTTATTTATCAAGGTATAATCCTTAGTTGTAAATGATAGGAAAAAATATCTCTCTCAACTAACTACAACAGACAACAAACTCAACACGTGGTTCTGACAACAGAAAGTCAATTGACTCACCAGATTCACAATTAAAACTTGGGAAGAAATTTAGCTCTCGATAGACTCACCACGTTCATATCAACATGAAGTTCTTCGAACCATGCAGTTGTGTCCTTCTCTCTTAGTACACTAGCAATATATATGCAAGCCAAAGCTATCAAATAGGGTGGATGTACAAGAATTAGATCCATCTTGTAGGTGTCGTTCACAAGCCCCCTATACAATTGGAACGCAATCATTACATTTTCTTGGAATTAGCTGTGTTAAATAATACAAAATATCAAACTTCAAGGACATTGCCGTAGAAACCACATGCATGACAGCTGGAAAATGTATAAATTACATTTGGAAAGATAAAGCTGATTGCATACGAAATACTATTCTCGTTATAAAAAAATACAACAGGTAGATGAGCAAAAAAACATACTTACAGACAAAATTATTAATATAACTGCCCGAAACCAATGACGTAGTCCTTGTACTTTTTAATAATGTGTTCATTTTCATGCACTTGTAACAAACGACTTTTACTTATTCGTAATAGAAGGAAAAGGTTCTGATAAGTTACATACACAAAAATTCACGAATGTACAAGCTTTTATGCTCGAACTTTTATCAACTTTGAAACAAAGTATGACAAGAAAAAGAAGAGTTGAAAGACAAGCAGAATTTTTTTAAATAATGCATCTATCATATAC